ACCTCTGGTGCAAATTACTGACCTCTGTCATCATTTTAGGTGGGGGAACTTGCACAATCGGTGGCTGACTAAATACTTTTTTGCCCCACTGTATATAAGTCACTTAGATAACTTCAAAATGTTATTGTTTGGCTTTTTTCAGTTTTTTATTTGTTCTTGAGTAAATCTGTTTGGCTGAGATTAAAGTTATAGTTTTTACGCAGCTGAATAAATGTCAGGCAGACAGCTGATTATCAGAATGTGAGGTGCTGGAGAATATACTCCAGTGTCCTGTTATATTTTAGATAGCAAGGAGCAGACAGCTGAGTTTATTAAACTTCACTGAAACAATCTGCAAATTTCATTAAAATTTAATAAACTATCATCTTGTCTTTATTTTTAGTTAGCACATACCTTAAACACTTAAAGCTGTAAGCTAATGATAGTTATATAAGAGCAGATGCATGCTAGTGCAATAAGCTGTAGGTTTTACGTCCAGTGGATGCATGATCTGATTAGTCGACTAATCGCAAAAATAATCGGTGACTAGTCGACTATCAAAATAATCGTTTGTGGCAGCCCTAGTGTTGTGCACAGCTCAAATTACCTTGCCCAGTAGGTAAACATTAACAGTGCCATCACCAGCAGCTTTCCTTCCTCACAGGTTAACGTCGACAGAATGTGGTGATACATCGCTCCAGTCAAGCGGTTACATGCAGGTTTACTCGGGCATAGTCATAGCACTGCAGAACTGTGCTGGTTCACACGGTTGTCATCTATCTTTACTTTCTGCTTTGCTCGTTTACAACTTCCCATCATAAATAGGGAGATTGATAGGGGGTATTTTAAGCTACCCGATGTTGAACATTGATAAAATATGAATAGTTGGTTCAGCAGGCTAGTATTTCTGTTGTTCACCTGCAAAGGCAGCAAGGAAGGTTTAGTCCTTAAACAGGAAAAATAAGCAGACATTTACCAACTGAAGGTAAAAATCTTCATGCTTTTCAAGCTGTTTTATATCTGTATTACAGTAAAATAAGTACATATGCGAGCCAGCTGAACAGTTGCAACTTGGTGGGGACAGATTGCATAGTCAGATGGCCACTCTTGACATCACTAGTAAAGTCTGTCTTGGAAACACTGCAATAAATGTAAACACTATTACCAAAACTTAACAACACAACATTAAAATATCCTGAAAGACTTTACAGTTCATTTTATTTAAGTATGCAAATGGGGGAATATACTCGACTACACCAGCATTATAAATGATATACTGAGACAAATTATAGAGAAGTTAAAATGGAGCACCAGACCTCAGTGACTCAGCCAGGCCAGCCAAAAAGGGTACACACACCTGGCAGATGAGGCACAGGTTAGTGGAGTAGCTAGCTTTAAACAGTTAACTAAAGGAGCAAATTAACTGCAGGAAGAGTGGAAAACAAATCAGAAATTAAAATTGACAGTTCACCAGTCGTCAGTCCTTTGCTCACCAGTGCAATACCAGCATAACCTGCACCTGTCTGCGTGACTGTTTTCTGTTGTTGCAGCTGCTTCTCTCACTTCCCACAACAAACTCAGCAAGTCAGAGTAATAGTCATCCTCGTCTTACTTTAGTCAGCCATTAAGTGTGTCAGTCAGCTCAGTGGGGCGCTCAAATCTGCTGTGGGTGTAGTGGCAAGTGGTGTCTTCACATCCTAAACCCAACACTTACCTGCAGTTCTACATGAATAAAACATGAATAATATGTTTACCAGACTTATTTCTTTGGAAGCATGAGAGGGAATCTGTGTTTAAATGTCTGGTTGACTAGTTGCACTCCTCGCTGTAACAATAGAGTAAAACTGGGCTTAAAAAATGTAAGTATTGAGTTTTAGTTGATCAGCTGCAGATTTACACTAACACACCTGAGAGTTTCCCATAAATGCACACAACCATATGATATTCTTAAAAGCATTCAGTGTTAACTTAGTGACTTTGTGTTTCTAGTTATCTTTTAAAAATACATTTCTAATTGTATGATTTTCATTTTAAAGACAGAAGCTGCTTGACTGCTAGACCAGCAAATGAAACAAGAGAAACTGTGTTTGCTGTCCACCATTTCATGCATTTTAGTGTTGTGTGTCAACAGGAATTTGTACTGATAACATCATTCCTGAGCTGTAGCTCTCTCCGTACATCCCATAATATACTGAAGCAAAGTGCTGAAACACATCAAATCTTCTCTGTTGTAGATTTTCTATGATCTGGTGCGACAGATCAACAGAAAAACGCCGATGGAAAAGAAGAAGACAAAAAAGAAGTCAAGTTGCACACTGCTCTAAATTGCCATCCCACGATAGCTCCAGGCCAGGTGAGTGGGTGTAAAAGCAAAATTTATTCCAGACATTTGCAAGGCTCCAGCTGTGTTCTGAGCTCTGGGTTATCACAAAACATTTAGAAACCTACAGCAATAATTATTGTGATGATTTTTTTTTGAGGGGGAGGATTGGTGTGTTGCAAATAACAAGATCTCTGTAGGTTTAATAGTGAATGTTTCATGTGGACTTTAATTAACCGGAGGCCTCTCAAGTCCTCTTTTTGTGTCTTGTTACACCATCCTCCATTTTAATTGGATCAAAGAGGGTTTACAGTGTGCTTATATGAATTTTGGCGAATGTGGTGGCTCCACCTGCTGCTGCAGCAGCGCAACTGTAATGAAATCTAATTATAGAGAGCACTGTTGGAGCTTCTCTGGCCTTTTTGTTCCTACAACAAATTCACAGAATTTACCAGCTGTTTTTTTCCTTAATTACACCACTGTGTTATTGTCTGATGTTTGTTTTTCAATATAAATCTTTGGTTTACAGTCTCCTTGCTTTGATATAAAAAAATCCGACTCTGGAGATTTGAGGTTTGATTGAGATGCTGCGGACATTGTTTTGCTCTAGCTTCTTAAATGATGCCTGCTGTGTTGCAAACACTGGTCATCAAGCAAAACAAGGCATTTCCACTGTAATGAAATGGGAGCAAACTGGACTCCTGGAAGTCTCACCAGTTCTGCTACTTTCTCTCCCATCTTGCAACAGCTTCTACAGTGTGCTGATGATATTCACCAAAAGCACTCCTCCCAAACTGAACCCAAACTGTCCTTTTGGTGCAACACTTCGACGTTTCAAATGTTTTTCTTCCTCTTTAAGGTTTTTGTGCATCTTTCGCAGCACCATTGCTGTTTACCTCCTAGTTTCCTGACAGCGATCATCTTATCATAGACATACGTCACACATGCTCAAGCTGGCGCAACTCAGGCAGCTAAGGCCTCACAGACACATTGGGAATGATGTTTATTGCACAATAGGACTGTAGATTTTCTCCTTATCACATTGGAAGTGTTTCAGATAGTGACTCAAAAGTTTGAGTCTTTCTTTTCCCCTACTACTATGATTTGCTTCTGAGGCAGTTATGACTTGTCCACACTTGTACTTGCCGTTCAGGAAATGTTTGTGAGTTGAGCATGCGACACTCTGAGTCAAATCAAGGCATGCTTTAGCCACTACATGCTGTTAATTCCCAGCTTCCTCACTGGGCTAAAATCCCAAAAGACAGTCTCTGAAGTGTGGCTCACAAACTCATGAACTAGGGAAATGATGTCATAATCCTCCCTGCCTGATGTATCTTTGTGAATGCAGAAAAACAGTTTATACTGTGATTGTTTTGTCTTAAAAAGCAGCAAATAGGAAGCATAACGAAGTTGACATTTTTATGTTTCATGTGACATTTTTGGGAAGCTGCAACAAAAACATAAACTGGGATAAGCAGCACTCTGACATTTTGGTGCCACAGTAAATCTCTTTGTAAACTGGAAACAAAGGTTCACCAAGAGGACAGATGGTTTCTAGAGAGGTGGAGGCTGAACATTTATGAGTTGTTTCAAAGCGTCTCGCCTCAGCCGAAGAAAGTCAATATTTTGTATGGTTTCAATATAGCTGCTTCACTTCACTGATTCAGAGCAGCTGAAAAGTAAAAGTTTTCACTGCAACAAGAACATCCCTTATACGGACTGACTCCAAGTGCAAGTGACTATTGGACTATTGGCTGAATTATGCTTTTATAGGAAAGGGCAGCACGGTGGTTAGCACTGTTGCCGCACAGCAAGAAGGTCCTGAGTTCAATTCCAACATCAGGCCGGGGTCTTTCTGTGTGGAGTTTGCATGTTCTCCCCGTGTTTGCGTGGGTTCCCTCCGGGTACTCCGGCTTCCTCCCACCGTCCAAAGACATGCAGCTTGTGGGGATAGGTTAATTGGATAACCCAAATTGTCACTAGGTGTGAATGTGCGAATGAATGTGAGTGCGACTGGTTGTTTGTCCCTGTGTGTTGGCCCTGCGACAGACTGGCGACCTGTCCAGGGTGTGCCCTGCCTCTCGCCCTATGACAGCTGGGATAGGCTCCAGCGCCCCCCGCGACCCTGAAAAGGATAAGCGGAAGCGAATGGAAGGATTGATGGATGGGATGGATGGATTTCATGAGTTAAATACACAAGGAGTTAGAGAATTAAGTAAAATGACAAGTACAAAAGGGGGGGGGCAGCACTACACTCAGCCAATGTCAGGTGTCAAAAAACGGGCAGAGTACCAAAGAACTGATGCTCCCAAAGTTTGAATCGCTGACATGAGTGCAGATGGGATGGCCTTCTACAGGAAACATGCTACAGCTCAAATGAAACATGAACAGCTGCAGCAGTGAGAGCGCTTTGGTGAAAAGTCTTGCCTAATTTTCCCATCGGTTTTTGGATTCTGAAAAGATAGAAGGTAGAAGGGGAAAAACTGAACAGCCTATCCAGTTGGCTCCATGTGAGGTCTCTATCCTGCAACAGCCAAAAATTAAGCAAGTGAACATATTGTGCCCTTGTGGATTCGCTGATGGTTTTCATTTTATAGTTTATATTTTAGAAAAGCAAAGGAAACACACTTATATATATGTATGTACGTGTGTGTGTGTGTGTGTGTGTGTGTGTGTCTATATGTAGTAGATATTTAGGTGTTTACATCCATGTTAACTGCCACAGTTGAGGTTCAGCAGAATTAAGAGGATAATGTGTTGACAAAATTAACATTCTGTTTATAAACTGCATGTTTTTACAGTTTAAAATGAAAAAGAATCCCTTGTAACAATCCTCCTAGCTGTTAGTAGTCACCACAGTGGGTCATCAGCCTCCATCCAGGGCTTGACCAATTTGGTGTGGAATTATTTTGATCTGCATATTTGATTCAGTATTTATTTCACATCAGTGCAGCCCTCCCCATTTATCCAGGACTCAAACTGGCACAAGGAATAAAGGCTTGCAGCCCACCTTGTAACTGGGCTAGCTTCACAACTTATAAGAATTCAAGTCTTAAAAAATAACCCTGGTTGTTCATTTCCATCTTGATAATCATACAGGTTTTTCAAAGCCACAGGGGACTACTAAAGGTGGGCAAATGTCCTGCAGTGTCGAGACACAGTCTTGACTTTTTAAAATGTTTCAGGAACAAGTTGTGTCCACATCGTTTACATTGAATCTTCTGACTTTATTCTTTCTTTTTCTTGCTTTCAGAAACTTGTAATGATTAACTGTTTCCCAGTGGATCGTGCCAGCATTCCAAGTCCTCTCCGAAGCATTTTGAAAAAGGCTGACAGAGAAATTTCACCACTCGCAAAATGGCAGGAGACGGCACATACTCTCAAGAAACTCTTTCTTTCTGCTCTTTAATGGCAAAGATATCCACCTCTTCTTTTTTTACTGTCAGCCTGATGACAACTGTTTTGTTTTTGTCCTCTTCTCCAAGTTGTCTTTCTTTTTGGAAATATCAATATAAAAGAGGAGACCTTGGATTTATATCCATCTATGGGAACTAAAATGTTTTATTAAAAGTAACATCAGATATTTGACACATTGTGACAATGCGTTCGCAAAAGTATCCATGTGAAATGTTGGTCTTCTTGTACATTTCTGCACTAACAGTGTCAATGAAGATGCATCATTGTCCATAAATTACTCGCTCCTACTTACAAGGATGTGTATTGACGAAATAACATCTTTCCTAAGTGACTTTGTTTTATATCGAGAGCTGCAAGCCTTCCATATTTCCCATAATATATTCTACTTCCATTTTTGCATAATAAAGCTAAGGAAATTAGTATTTTATAGACTGATGGGGGAAATGGTGCGTTCTGATTTGTGTCTTGAGGCTGAAAATATATTGTACTAAACCAACTCTAATATCGCTTCTTGTGTTACCCTGTCACAGATGATTTTCCAGCTTTTATGAATGATTAAATTTTAGTACATTTTCATTAGTTTTGGTCTTGGTTTTTGTCCTTTTAGCATGTTTTTGGTGTTTAACAAAAAGATTGGGAGTGAAGTTTGGACACATCTGCTCATTTGGGCCCTCTGGACCCAAATGAGCTGTGGAAAATTGGTTATGAAATCGCTTTTTAAAATAATTGATTTGATCAAAGTCACATTATATGAACAAATATGTTTTATCCACAGCAGCATGAGTTGACAGTGCGTTTCGTTAAGTTCTGGTTTTCTGGGTCACGAATAGAGCAGTGTGAAGATCGATATCTCCCAGAGAGCTAAAAGAGTAACTTGAGTGTTTCCTGTCAGCAGAAATGACGGCCTCAGACTGAGTCACCAGAGGAGGTCTGAGCTGAGAGGAAGCTGCAGAGAAAGAGGAACTCGTACAGAAAGACAGGGTATGAATTGAAGGCAACAAAAAGCAGAATCGAGACTGATTAAGATGAGCAGACAGAGCTCAGCTGCTCCACCTTGAGGTGGTGGCTTTAATAATTAAGTAACAAAAACAGTACATGACCACCATGATGTATTCACAGGCCAGTTCTTACGTACCCTTTGCAGCAGCTCGTTAACAAATATCTAATCAGCCAATCAGCAAACCAATCCACTTAGGCATGTAGACGTGAGCACATCCACATGTCTAAATGAATGCGGCATGGTTGTTGGTGCCAGATGCGCTGGGCCAAGTGTTTCAAAAACTGCTGATCCAGTACTTTCCCACACAAACATCTCCAGTGTTTAAAGAGATGGTCTGAAAAACAATATCCAGTGAGCAGCAGTTCTCCAGGAGAAAATCCTAGAGGTCAAGCCTCTGAATCGTTTATATGTTCAATGGCAAACTTACACACTGTACACATGGTTTCTTGTGCAGGGAGACCGTGTGGGCACTGCAAGATTTCAATCCATTACAGAGTTGCCAGTGATGTGCTCGGTGACTATGGTCCCAACTGCCTCCAGATCATAAACAAGCTCCTAATTGCTCCAACAACTCTTACTGTCTTACCAAGGTTCTTGCTGATAGTCTTGTAGTCCACTCCAGCCCCGTGTAGGTCTACAGACTTGCTCTTTGGCCTTGGAGGTGGTGGAGAGGTTGAAATGGAAGAAATGTATTCTGTGGACAGGTGTGCTTTATACACATAAAAAGATAAGATCAGGAATATCTGTAATTGATTGATATTAATCTGTGTGGGCATACAGCCAACCTGTGGGAGCCAGAATTGTGGCTGGGCTGTAGGGGATCACACGCTTATTTCACTCAATGACATGCAAATTCATTTATAACTTTTGTGTCATGTGTTTTTCTGGAGTTTCGGTTGATTTTCTGTTTCTCTCCATAAAAATTAGAGACTGTTCATTTCTTGGTATGTGAGCAAACTTACAGTTGTTGCCAAAAGTTTTAAGAATGACACAAATATTTGTTTTCACAAAGTTTGCTGCTTCCAATTTCATGATAGCAATTTGCAAATACTCCAGAGTGTTATAAAGAGTGATCAGATGAATTGCGAAGTCCGTCTTTGCCTTGACAGTGAACTAAATCCCCAAAAAACTGGCTGAGATCATTTCAATAATCTTTTTTTTTTCTTTTTCCATTTCAATAGTCTTGTCGTTAACTCAGGTGGAGATCATTATGTCATGCTGACTGGTTTAGAATACCAGACTGGAGGTGATGAAAGGAGGCTGATGTTTGAAATCATTGTTCTTCCTGTTAACCTTGGTTACCTGCAAAGAAACACAGCCATCATTGAATTGCATAAAAAAGGCTTCGCGGGCAAGGATGGTTTTGCTACTAAGACTGCACCGAAATTGAAGTTCAGTTGAAATTGAAGTCCAACAAGCACCAGGACGGTCTCCTAAAGATGATTGGGCTGCGTGAGTGCCACCAGTGCAGACCTTGCTCAGGAAACGTAGCAGGCAGGTGTGAGTGCATCTGCATGCACAGTGAGACAAAGACTTCAGGAAGATGGCCTGGTGTCAAGAAGGGCCGCAAAGAACCCACTCCTCGCAAATAAAATGTCAGGACAGATTGATATTCTGCAAAAAGTGCAGGAAGTGGACTGCTGAGGACTGGCGTAAAGTCATTTTATCTGATGAAGCCCCTTTCTGATTGTTTGGGGCATCTGGAAAAAGGATTATCTGGAGAGGAAAAGGTGAACACCACCATCAGTCCTGTCTCATGCCAACAATAAAGCATCCAGAGACCATTCATGTGTGGGGCTGCTTCTCGTCCAAGGGAGTTGGCTCACTCACAGCTTGGCCAAAGAACACAGCCCTGAATAAAGAATGGAACCAAAACATCCTCTAACAGCAACATCTAACCATCCAAAAGCAGTTTGGTGAAGAACAATGCCTTATCCAGCATAATGGAGCACCGTGCCATAAGACCAAAGTGATAATTAAGTGGCTCGGGGAACAAAACATTCTGGCAAACTCAAAGCATTGATTATGAAAGAATGGGTTGCCATCGGTCAGGATTTGGCTCAGAAGTTGATTGAAAGCATGCCAGGGCAAACTGCAGAGGTCTTGGAAAAGAAGGGCCAACACTACAAATATTGACTCTTTGCATAAACATATCGATGAAAGCCTTTAAAACTTATATAGTGCTTGTATTTCTACTTTAAAACATTGCAGAAACAACTGACACAAAGATATAAAAACACTCAAGCAGCAAACTTTTTGAAAACCAATATTTGTGTCATTCTCAAAACCTTTGGCCACTACTGTACAAATTCAGTAAGGGATCAAATAATTATTTCCCGCACCGTTTACACTGGGTAAGTTTGAGCCATTCATTTTTAGTTCAGCCTGTTTATAAAAGGGTGAATGTAGCCTTCAGTGAAGTGTTTATGTCCTCACCATTTAGGTGTTCTGAAAGTAGACCTGTTGAGAGTGGATCTAAGAACCCCAGGGACACCACACAAGATACTCTGTCAGCTTCTCTGCTTTATCACCCTTTTTGACTCTAAAAATAACCATAGTTTCCAAAATAAACCTCACTTTGCATTAAATATGACTTGAAAGCAGCGATTGAGAACATAAACTCAACAGAAAACTCAGACTTCTATTTAACTGGACTGTTTTTGGAAGCAGAAGCCCCCTGCTGGCCATTTAAAGGAATGCAGGTTAAAGGCACTTCTGCACTCCCATAGCTTCTTAGACCCAGGACCATCATTTGTATACAGTTAATGCACTCTACACACACATATAAGCAATGTTTAAAAAAATTAAGGCAGACTCTGTATTCTTTTTGTGAATGCTATGAGACCTCTTTGAGCTTCTAGGGGACCCTGGTTAGGAAACATTAAGCTACTATGATGTGTTAGTAATTTATAAGGTTACAGATTACAGTTTTACAGTTTTAAAATGTGAAACTTTTATTTGTAATATTTATTCTTCAGCTTTATTATTTTTACTTTGTGTCGAGTAAACTATTTCTGTAGTTCTCCCACTTCTGTCTTTTAATAAATTCCTAGATTTGTGGACGGACAAACCCAAAGTAGGCTACCCGCTGTAACCGAACAGCTCAGCTCCCTTTGATGGAGAGAAATCTCCGCTCAGACCGCTTAAAATCTCATTTTCCTATATGATCTCCGATGATTGAGGAGCGGCAATGATTTCCCCCCCTCTGTCCCTCTCTCTCTCCTACTCTGGCCCTCCTCCCTGCCTCCTTTCCCCTCCCTCACTCTCTCCCACACGCATTCATAGTCTACAGACCGACAGGCTGGGCGACCCCCCTCCCCCCCTTCCATCATTTTCCCATCCCTTACTCGCTTCCCTACAACAAATATGGCCGCGAAATCTGACGGTGCACCCATCTCTCTCCGAAACGCAATCCCACCCGAGTGCCCCTCCAGGTCGGACCCGCGGCCTCCCCAGCGCCGTCCCGACGAGCAGCGCTATACCCTCTCGGACTGCTGCTGGACGCTGTGCGCCCTTCTGGTGTTCTTCGCGGACGGGGCCTCAGACCTGTGGCTGGCCGCGGACTACTACCTAAGGAAGTACTACCCGCAGTTTGTACTGACTCTGGTCTTTGTGATAGTCCCGTCCGTGGTCGTGCAAGTGTTGAGCTTCCGATGGTTCGCCTACGATTTCTCAGAAACCGTGGAAAGCGGCACTGCCGCGGCCGCCGTGGTGGCAGCGTCGGAGCGCGACATCAGCACCAAGGACAGCGGCGAGCGGGGCGCTGGCCGCTCTGCCGCGGCCGGGGTGCTGCCAGGGCCGGGCACCGGGGGAGGAGCCCGGGGGTGCTGCAGAGTCTTCGTCTGGCTCTTCCAGGCTCTCATTCACATCTTTCAGCTGGCACAGGTCTGGAGGTAAGTCAGAACACTCAAAGCGTGATCTGAGCCGAGGGGGGACTACACATTGTGGCTGTGTGTGTGGGGGGGTCTTTCAAAGCACAGCATCACTCCCTGTAGTTATGAAACCTAATCATTCAGGGAGGACTGCGCCCAAAATGCCAGAATATCTTTTTGTATTGTTTGACTTTCACGAGCATGGAAAGGCAGATTTAGACTCCACCCTTCCACTCCCCCAACCCCCTGGCTGGCTTCTAGGTCAATCATCTGTCTGAAAATCACCAACTCATCCACACCAATCCCCTTCAAATGAAGTAAAATGGGAGGAAAACAAGAAGGAAGAAAAATCGTCTTGTCTGTTCAGTAGGAGGAAGCAGCCTGACTGCTCAAGAAGAAGGATAATAGTCATAAATGTCAGGAGAGTTGCTTCACATTTACAGTGATACTTGCCTCTCTATCACTGTTTGGTGTATTTTTGGTTCCTACCTTGAGGCTCTGGCTCTTGTGTTTGCAAAATCCATATTCTCAAACCTCCCAACAGTTTTTTCCCATCGAGCCATGTTCATACCCAAACATGTTTAATTACTGGGCGCTAAAAACAAACCGGTGTACTCTTTGGCATTGCTCTCAAATAGATGGCAGTAGGTCTGTAGGTCAGCTACTCAAGCAGTGATGGTGAGTCGGTGCTCAAGCTTGGAGTGCCCTGATAGGCTTTGACAGGTTTGAACTGCTGCCAGCCAGGAGGAGCCATTCATCTAAACTGTAGTAGGTGGACGGTTAGACAAAATTACATTCAAAGACAAGTTGTGTTTTGCAGACATGTCGGGCTGTTGTAGAAAGAAAGATGCAAATCAGTTGTTTGATTTATCCGTAGGCCTGCATAATCTCTGTCCTCTCTCGCTCTCGCTCTTCCTGCCTCTTTAGACAGCCCTATGGGTAATAACATATATTGATTCCTTATTTCCTCCTGGAGACTAGTGTGAGAGAGCGTGTCCTGGATCACATTAAAACATTGTGGCGGCACAGAATTACCGGTAATGCCATTAAAGCTGTGGTGCGTGCCCCGTTCATTGCCGTTCTGCTGCTGCTGCTCTCAGAGCAGCGTGTCTGCACATTAAGAGGATTACCGCTGTGTGTTTTACCCTCAGCTGTTAACTCAGGAATGAGCCGTCACTGATACACAATTAGTCAGGTGAACCGGGATCAATTTGGGCCGGCTACCAGAATTGAATGTCAGTGCGCTTGAGATGTGATACGGGCTCGTGTCACACACAGGGCGTGCGATGACACTGTTTGTGTGTGTGTGTGCGTCCTCTTGTGTGGCTGAGTCTTTGACCCTCGTTATTGCACATATGCTCTATTTTCCCAGTCTGTTCCATCCCAAGGCACGCTTTGTGTAGCAGGGACCAGAACAAAAAAAGGGTTACACAATCTCCCCTGTGGTTCAGTGGGCTTGTTGACATAGGGCTTCTCTGACCCTTCTCCCCGAGGCAATTACTGAGGCGATTATAGCATCAGTCCTCCGTGACAACCACCGGTGATTTTCCAACATGTAGATGCTCTGTAGCGATAATCGTTTACACTCTGTATATTTGCATAGTGCAAACACATTTGTACAGAAATATGTGTGCTTTTCTGCAGCATCCTGTTTGGTACCTATACAAGGTCACTGCAGAACGAATGGAGGTGGGACTACATGTCAGCAAAAGCTCAAGAATTCAACAAAGGATTTGCAGCGAGCTCTTTTATCCCTTCTAACCTTCAGCCTTGAAGGTTTTCTCTCCGCAGCTCCTCGTATTTTACTTTTTCTGAACTCCTTGGACTTATTTTATTTGAAGAGAGACTGGAGACAAGCTTCACACATTCCCCCCTCTGATGTCTGTACTAAAATTATAACCACAGAGCTGCTTAGTTCAGTTTCAGTTTAATCTAAATCTCAGTGGGGCAAGTAACCAGCTTTCTGGCAAGAAGTACTGACGGCTCCCAGAGTTTGGAATAATGAGTTATGACTTCTGAGAGTCTGTGTTTGATGTCCAAAAGTTTTTGAAGCACAGCATTAAAGCCTAATCTCCCCCTTCCATCTCACAAAAACTAATGCACTGCTGAAAGTTTCTGAAATATATCTGCCTCTGATACTCAGGTATGTCCACGCCTTGTATTTGGGCGTGCAGAGCCGCTGGCACGGAGACCCAGAGCGGCGTCACTACTATTGGCGCATGATGTTTGAGAGCGCTGATATCAGCATGCTTCGTCTTCTGGAGTCCTTTCTGAAGAGCGCCCCTCAGCTCGTGCTGCAGCTCACCATCATGATCCGGGCCAATCAGGTGCTGCCCCTTCAGGGTAAGTGCCCCCAAAACGACCAATCACCACAGCCATCATGCACATGATCACATCAGTCAGTCATGAGTCTGCAGCCCACACTGTACGCACGCTGTGAGCGATGAGTCACTTGAGCTCGCCTCAATCAGGCTCCCACTGAGATGAGGGAAGTGCATTTTCTTTCTGTGCTACATGGTGAGACAGTTAACTCACAGCCATTTCTATCCCATCTTACTCCTCTTGCCAAATCTCTGTCTCTCTTCCTCCCTCTTCTCCGCTCTCTCCCCAGGGCTTTCAGCTTCTGCCTCACTGATATCCCTCGCCTGGATGATCTCCTCCTACCAGAAAGTCCTGAGGGACTCCCGAGACGATAAGCTACCCATGACCTACAATGCAGTGATAGTTCAGATTCTGTGGCACTTATTTACCATCGGAGCTCGCACACTGGCGTTTGCCCTCTTTGCCTCCGTGTTCCAGCTTTACTTTGGCATCTTCATCGTGGCCCACTGGTGCATCATGACGTTTTGGATCATTCAAGGCGAAACGGACTTCTGCATGTCCAAATGGGAGGAAATCATCTATAACATGATGGTGGGTATTGTCTATATCTTCTGCTGGTTCAGCGTCAGAGAGGGGCGCACCTGCTGCAGGATGCTCATCTACAGTCTCACTGTGTTTGTTGAGAATGTGGCGCTCACCACCTTCTGGTACCTGTACCGCAGCACTGGCGAGCGCCAGAGTACCTTAGACTTTTACGCTGTCATGATGGTGTGCGTGGTGGCCAGCAGCTACGCTCTGGGCACCTTCTTCATGTTTGTGTATTACTGCCTGCTGCACCCTGACGGTGCAGTTTCAGGGTGGAGTTACATAGTGGAGAAGGAGGTGCCCGTGGAGGCTCTGGCCTCGCCAGCCTCCAGCCTCCCTCCTGACCTGGTAAGCAGCCCTCCCAGGACCCTTCAGAGAACTAAAGGGTCAGACAGAGAGCCGGGGATAGATGGGGATGTGTTTAAGGTGCGGCCACCTCGGGGAGCTCAGACCCCAGTGCCTCATCTCACACCCAGGACAGAGGGCCCCGTCATCCGGATAGACCTGCCCAGGAAGAAGTACCCCGCCTGGGACGCTCACTTCATCGACCGTCGGCTGCGTAAAACCATCCTGGTGCTCGAGAGTGCTGCCCCCGTTACACCGAGGATTCAGTACCGCTGCCTGAGCACTCCCAAAGAAGTGATGGAGTACGAAACCACCGTGTAATGCGCCGATGGTGCTGTGACTCAGCTTGTTCCTGTGTGGACATCCTGCCTTAAATAAAAATGGCAGGAGGATGACTCTCACTGAGTGGTCAGGTTTAACTCCACACTTACTTAACGGCTCTCTGTTCTGGCCACAAACAGCCACATCAGGGGATGGAGTGTTGCGTGTTTACTTTCTACATGGGGCAGGATTCTGCGATATTGTCTGGTGACGGTGCATATTTTGGTTTCTGTATCATTTCTCAGGTCAGGATGTGTTACAGAAAGATATGGAAGGTAGAGAGGATCACAGGCAGGCAGAGAAGTGGAGCTGTTATCAGTCAGAGGCAGAAAGTCCTCCTCGGCGAAGGTGCTTCAGCAAATCCTCGTCAGGTGGTCGACAACAGAGACAAGCCTTCAACATGCATGATTATTTATGGCAGCTAAAACTCAAACATCACCGAGTGAGTAGGTAGACTCGCACTGCATTTTTAAACACCATCTTTTGTAGACGCAGCACAGGTAGTGGTCTCCTGAATCACAATTTTCCATAGCTATTCACTCATGTTGAAGGAGTCTCTGAAAATGCTGTTTCTAATCTGAAGGGCACATCAAAAGCAACATTTGAGTTGAATGTAAAAACAGTTGAAAATGTGATTATTTGTGACAAGGCTTTGAGCATTTTCATGCTGTTAGTGGGATTGTCATCATTCCTGTGACACTATATTTGTTTTTTGTTTTTAAGGTAAGCTATGTGCGTGTTTACAAGCAATCTGTTATTTTGGGGACATGCCATCACTATTATAACAAGATGCACCTTCCTCCAGAATGTGTATGTACTGAACACTGCATTTTACAGGACTCAACAGCTGTATTTTCATACTGCATCCATCTTCCACAACAAAAACAAAACAGGACAGATGATAATTTACATGTAAAATACTGTAAAATGAAGAAGTTGTTGCAGAGGGACAGCACTGTCTGTATTTGTACTGTATTCATATTTTGTTGTCTGAACAGTGTTTAAAAAATAGCTGCAGACTCCTAACAGAATAGCTTTGATATTACTGATGGTACAGGCATGTAGTACTTTTGGTAGCCCTTTATTTTGCCAGTCTGTGATTTCCTAATAATTTCCTCAAAAGCTTTTTAGGACTAGTTTTGTAGTTTGGCACAAGCAGATCAATAACATCCAGAGAAATTTTAGTGAACATATTAAAGCACAGCATTAAAATCACTTGTCTAACTCCTCTTCGCAGATCTTTTGGGTCTTATAGGGTGTGGGGCATACCCCCTGTTAATTGGGTGTGTGTTGACACATCACTCTAGAGCACAATCCTATTAGGATCTGCGAAATTTGGATGCTGGCGCTCCTCCTAGGGCTGTTTATTGTGTTCCATGAAAATGAGAAAGGCCATGTTTGGTGCATGGTACATAGTCTGGTTTGAGGAAATCACTGCTACAGTAGCAGAGATGTGAACAGAGGCAAACAGACTGTTGCCTCTGTTCACAAAACAGACTCCTTTTGCGCTGTGTTGTGAAAGCCTATTGGCCGAGAGTCTCCCAAAGAATTAATTCTGCTGACGACAATCAGAAAGTGATGACAAAGCTTTTTGGTGCCATTCGTGGGCAGCTGAGAATCTTCAGCTTCACTTTTATATAAAAAGGAAAGAAAGAGAGCGCTTGGAGAAAACTAAGCAAAATCACAGGACCCTTGTAAATTGTGGAAATATTGTACTTGTTACTTAAATCCAGAGTCGTTCTGCTTTTGTCTGTAAGGGGCAGATATTTGAAAAAGGGACTTTATTCTTTTGAGTAAAGCTCAAAGTTACATCCACGTGAATTCCAGTCCACCCGTTACAGTTTTTTACAGTTTTTTTTAGTATATATAATTCATTCATTCTACGCTAATTATTGTAAACAGTGTTTTTGTATTTGTAGACAAATTGCCAACAGCTTTACACGTTTTGTTGACCTCCTGAAGGTTTTGGATGCATTCTTGTAAACTGTGCATGTGGAGACCGAAAGAAGGACTGGGTTTGCAGTCAACTATCACCTGAAGAGGATTTAGCTTTTTAGAAGCTTTTATTTTAAAGTCACCTGCGTAAAACAGTGATCAGTGCATGTAACTGGAACTCTTGGCCCAGATATCAGATATGAGTGAGCCCTTTTTTATTACAATTTACCCCAGTGTAATAGCAGTTTACAAATTCACCTAACAAATTAAAGCTTTCCAGTTCGGACCCTTGTGGTTGCGGGGCATCCAGCATATAAAATCTGCCAAATCAAACATGCAGCACTACCTCCTGTCACGACCCCGTGAATTAGGGAGCTGCTGAAAGTAGCACCACCCGAATTGAAATAATTGTTAAAAATGGACTGTTCAGCACAGTCCATTTTTAACTATAATTAGTGACAAATTACACTGAATTAAAGTCATTTTACATGAATCTTTTGAGGAAATTATTTTTAATTAATGGACTTATAAAATAAAGTTTTACCTTCCTTTCTTTTATCAGGGTTGTTTTTCTATAGAATAGTCACACAGGAGAGATTTTCTGACTTTTGTGTGTGCTAGTGTGTGTGTGTGTGTGTGTGTGTGTGTGCGCGCGCAAGCTCACATACCAGCATGTGTATGGGTGTATGTGGGAGAGTCCTGCCGTGTCCATTTAAATAATTTGAAGCTGTGTCTATGACAGTTTTGTTGTAAACACCGTCCTTTAAGCTGGTTTTTCCCAGATGGCAGAAACAAAAGAAAAAAAAAAAAGACCACAGAGCACCTTTACCACACCTGCTGCAGTCAAAGAAAAAAGAGCCAGAGAGGCTTTGATTATGGTGCTAACTCAATCCATCAATAACAACCACACAATGTACCATAAAATGAGTTTGTTGTGGCAGGAGTTGGGTGGGGCTGTACCTCAAACACAAAAGCTAGAATCTATAAGCCTTAAGCTGGTCATGCCAGACTGTTGCTGTTCAGAGCAAGAAAAAAAAGATGGAACAAGAAGGTGGAGATGATTTCATGATGTTGTTGTTGCTAAAATAAAGAGCAGTGTGTTTACCTGACCATCTGTTACTATCTTTTTGCATAGATAGAGGGTGAATGACTGTAATGAGTCGGAACAACAGGCTAGATGTAGGCAAACAAACATTGATTTTAGTCAACCAAAACATGATGACAGATAAAATTCTATCCATGTGCATGTTTCAACCTGCAGCATGTTGATAGAGGTTGATATTATCAAGACTCAAGACTTTTTTCTTTTTTTTTTACATTGATTTAATACTTCAGTCTTACAGTTGGTGGTGAGAAGTTTACATACACTTGTCACGGGCATCAATGTCACGGTAGTTTGAATGAACTCTACTAAGAAAAAAGGTCAATTATTCAGCCAGACTTATGGCAGAAGCAGGTTACAAAAAGTATTGATCGATTTGCAACTTTCTAAGAGATATTTGATCAAATGTTAGTGGAGGTGAGTGCATAAATTGAACCTGTATGTTTACTTTTAAGCCTGTTTGGATTAGAGAAAGCCTGTGCACCCAATTCTTGTTTTTTTTAAGTCCTTATAGATGTAAGCTGTACAACCATTCCACTCTGAAGAAAAATCACTTTAAAGAAATCAGCAAAAGCCCCAAATTACCACAAAATTCATGCCCATGATAAGTGTATGCAAACTTCTGAGCACAGCTGTAGATAGATACTTCAGAGGCAGATCGACAGATTGTTCTGATTAGATTGAGTCTTAATCCCATCTCTGCAGGGGATCAGTGGATTATCAGTACTGAAGTTGTCAGTACTACCCACATCTCCAAACATCAGCACAACACAATCTGCCCCCTCTTTGGCACGCTGCTTGCAGTGTAATTCCCTTAAATGGTGAAGGAAGGAAAGGACCTATTGATTGCTCCCACTCAGGAGATGGAAAAGCTTTCACACTTCAGTTTCTGTCTCGGAGAAACACTCACTACGAGACTATAAGTGTGGAACCAAAATGCAAATATTGTGCTAACCGTCCCATTAACTGTGATTGCTGCAGTACAATGAGATAACAAGCAGCCGAGCTGTCTTTGATCTCACAATTACAGTCTCACGCTCCCACTGACTTGTTCACAAATGCTAAATAGGTGCTGCTGTAATTTTCTCAAAAGCCAAACAATGGTGTGAAAATATCACTTCAACATTTATTTCTCCTAATGAGTCACAACTGTAAAATCACAGGCAACCATACAAAGACGAGGAATTTTTTTCACAGCTGTCAACGACATCCTGAGGAAAGCTATCTGGGGTGTGAACAAAATGAGGAGGAGGAGCGCTAAAGCGATGACAAGATCAACTGATATCTGATCTATCATAAATTAAAATTTAAAAAGTAAAGAAGAAATGGCAGAAACACCCTTCAACCATGTTACAAGCTTTAATGTTCAATAGTTTGTCCACCAGAGGGCACTGTGCAACTTGGTGCCATATGTTTAGAACACCACAAACACAAGAAACAGCTGATCTGGGCAGAGTGTAACTGAGTAATCCACGACTTGTGACAATAAAACAAAATTATTACATGGTTACCAGTTTTAAATGAAGTGTTAAAATGAACAATTTCCCCACAGCAACGGGGTTTGTCTCCACTATAGCCCCCTTTTATTAGTACCTACTTGGGTCAACTCGACACAGTTCACCACAGTTTTCGGGGTTTTCAATTAAGTCATAGTACCTGGTACCAGGTGCCTGTTTAGTACCTGCTTGGCTGGGGTTCCAAGCATACTGAGCAGGTACTAAAATGTGACATCATCAGACTCCATGCCACCGATTTGCTGGTCAGTAGCGATGAGTCTTGAGAGGATCTCAAAAAAAATCAAAACCGCCATTTTTGAGGGAACAAGGGAAATGGCTACAAAAAACAAAGCCATGGTCCCCCAAGTCTAACGAAAACCACAGCTCGAGCAGCAGGCATATTCTTGCATCAACGTCCACCTTTGTTCTAGCATTCATGTCGCGTAATAATTATGGCACAGGATGCTCTGCAGCATTACTATGACGACAACCACACACACTAGGTGGTACTGGATTGTAATGAAAAACCAGTCGATCCGAGTTGAGTCGTGGCGATCCGTGGCGATACATGACCGATCTGTGCCGAGTCCATCCAAGTAGGTACTAATGGAAAAGGGGCTTATCGGGCTGGGGCTTTTCTTTGTGACTTTTGCATGTTTTCCCCATGTCACCCATTGTCTCTGAGTACTCCAGCCTTCTCCAAAAAACTTGCAGTTAGTGGGGTTAGGTAAATTGTCTTTCTGTATTAACTCTGCAACAGACAGTCAACCTGTCCAGGGGTCATCCAGCTGGGATAGACACCCCTGCAACCCTGAATTAGATAAGCATGAAAAAATGGTTAGGTTAGCAAGGACTCATAAATAATTACACGTAACATGTGTTAGAAAAATCTATTTATTTTTGTGAATCTAGATGGAAAAATATCGACAGATATATGATATGTTAAATCAGAAAATATCGGCACTGGTATCAGTATCAGTCTTTAAAATTCCTGTATTGGGTCACGCTCTAATGCAGACACAATAATTAAGTAAAAGAATAATGAAATACTTGGATTTTATTCACCAGAAGTGAAACACAAACTTCTTAGATGGTCCGGCCCACACAGGAAGTCATAATGTTTGTTAAATAATTCAAACACAAAGGAGATATCCAGTTAAAAAGTGAGTCCTAGCAGACAGCTCCCAGCTACAGTTACCTGGGTCATCATTCATTCACCCACACATCTTGAGTCATTCCCAGGCCAGGTGAGATATGTAATGTCCCCAGTGAGTTCTGGCTTTACCCTGGGATCCTTTCCAGTTGGGTGTGCCTGAAAAAACCCCCAAAGGGAGGCATTCGTTCACCTATTAATCAAAGCAGGACTTTAGGCCATACTAGCATTCAAGTGGATGACTTATAAATAAGTGTGCAGTTGTTATCAATAGGAAAATGATCCAAAGAGAACAAAAGTGTTTTTGTGCAAGGCTGTCAACGTGCTTTGCTATAGCTAATGCTATAAAGTTGGACATTTTAAGATGGCAGTCTTTGGAGACTGATTCACTTTTGGAGTCAGCCTCAAGTTTAACCCTAGAGGAAGTGCAGTTTTTTTTGACACTGTTGCATTGGCTTCTTTCAGCTCCAGAGACTGCTGCTTGAATATAACACATCTAGAAAAAAATGTTTGCTTCCTTGTTGATTTTCAGACTTTCTTTTATGATAAAACACCAAAACATTCATAGAGCTTGAATGCTCAATAAGAGTGGAAAATTGCTAAATAAATGTCAATAAGTACATTATCAACATTTGTAGATTACACCAGCTTGACTGAATGTTTTAGGAATTGCATGTCCATAAATGGCCTATAGAATCTCTCAATCCAGCCAACATACATAAAAATCAAATAAAACTCCCAAATCAGTAAGATCCAGCGCTATGCTAAACACACAGAGGTAACTGACGGCAAAATTCTTTAACTCATTTAAACTGCAGTGTATTTCATCAGAGACCTATGCAGTGTTGCATATCAGACAACTAGCCAAATTGAAATTATTTAAATGCAACTGGAGCCTTTAGGTGGATCTGGCAATTCTATTCAGGCCCTTCGTTTAATATTATTAATAAAATTTGTTACCATGTTTTGATGTGAAAAAACACTCACCCACCTTTGATTACATTGAACACATTTTTTATTTTTTTTAAAGAAGATTGTTAGATCAATTCATTAGTTGTTAGACCTTGATGCCCTCGGACTGAAAAATATTTATGCATATTCTGATTGATATAACTGATTGATTAGTTGTCATATCGTTAGCTTCATAGCATAAGTGCCTAAGTCATTTTTTGGTCAAATCGCATGTGATATTTAAAAATATGCATGTGATATTTAGAAAATTAGTTTTTTCTTGTTTTCCGAAAACACAAAAAAATGACTTAGGCACTTATGCTATGAAGCTAACGATATATAAAAGCCATTGAATATTTCCTTTGTTACTAGCCCCCTTCCCACTATAACATTACAGCCAACCAGGTACAAGAAACTAGAATATTTTGGTGACTATATCCAATCCCCTATCAGTATTTGCACGATTTAATTTGCATAATCACCCTCAAAGCCAATCAGCAAACAGAGAGGTGGGGCAAATATGCTCCTACCGGTTTCGCTTTGCCTTTTCGTTCAACTGCCACATTTCAAACTAGAATGGCGACCGCTCTCTGCGGTCTACAGTCCACTGGCAGTAAATCGGCAAAGACTCACCAAGACCAGCGCAGGAAAGCGAAGGACTCCCGGCGAAGACAGGCTGCTCTGCTGTTTCTCAGTAATATCTCACTCGACGGACGACCCCAGTGTCAACCTAGCGATGGAAATGTCGACCAGAAAGCCGCTGAGGAGCCCCAACCCAGGGACAGAGACTGCGGTGCCGCTGTTGTGCCCCAGCCGTCGGATAGTCAAGGACCTGTCGCCCAGGTGACAGACGTCGCCGCAAGCGGTAGTGGCTCATCCTCCAGTTTCCCAGGGGTGGTCGGTCCGGGTGGACCTTCTTTGGTAATGTCCGGGCCAGGTGCTGTTGGAGCTAACGAGGTATTTTTGGATAATACCAGTGCGGCCGAGACGCTAACCCCAGACACTCCTCTTTCTCCCGTCCCGACCGGACACCCGCACTGCTCCCGTGTCAAGTCAACGCCCGCCGCGCTCAGTCCCGTCGGTGCCGGTAATTCTCTGGATTCACGGCAGAGGTGAGCACATTAGTGATTTATGTGTCAACATGGGCCTTTAAAACGGGGCTGCTGACTTCCGTAAGAGACGGCACCAGCTGGTATCTTCGGGGGAAGTCACTTTGATTTTAATGGGTTCCAGCATTTTCGGTATTATTAGCTATCAGTAGGTCTAAATGTTAAACACGAGCACTTAAATCAGGGTTATGTCTCTGTAATCTGGTCAAAAGTGTTCATTTGTGTCCTGAATTAAAACGATAATGTAACATGTTCTATATTCATGTCAGAAGTTGGGGAATTCCTTTGCTACGCCAGACAAAAACGATCAACAAAACATATGACATGACAAAACAGAAGCTGAAGTAAAATAAAGGAACCCATTTTTTTATGTATATGTATACAAAATATAATAATAAAAGTGTGAATATAATATAATCATAATCGCAACAGAAGTCTGTATTAAAAGCTATATGTAATACGAAGAGGAACAGAATGAATAAAAGTCTAAAGGTAATTTTTTAATTTCAATAGAACAAATAACGTGAAATAGCTCAGTGCATGAAATAAAGCACATTTTTTATCACTCTGTGGTGAAAATACTCCAAATAATTCGCCTTTACCTCCAAACCTATAAGGCAAAGAGATTTGTGATTACAGTGAAAGTCCTAACACGTGCACACTCTTTGTTTGGGTTATGTTGTGAAAGCATTATTAATTAAAGTGGTGTTTTAATCAGGCTGAGGAATGTCTCTGGCTCACCGGGACCCAAAGTGCCAAAGAAAGTCCACTTCATCAAGAGTATGAGGCAGTACGATACCCGAGGATCCAGGTGAGTCTCAGAGCAGTGTTTGTACACATATTTCCACCCAGATTTTAGCAGAGGAATGTAAAAAAATGCAGAAAAATCTGTTTAATTTTTAAATAGGCCTTAAATATAGCAGCGTTGTACTCCTCTGTAATAAGCTGCTTATCTGGTGCACAAACTGCAGAGGAATAACAGGGATACAGCTGCAGAGTTGCGATTGCTAAAGTGAATTTAATCACCCCTGGAAGCTTAGCAAAAGCCAAAAGAGGTGCAGTGTGGAAATTTAACACCCCATTACGGCAACAGTAAGGTAACCCAGAGGGGGCCAGGGAAATGAAATGCCACACTGCTGGCAGCTGGTTGACCACAACAGCGAAAAAAGAAATATTCTGTCTGTAAACTTTGGCACAAACATGTCAAATAATAATTTTTTTTAATCGATTATCTTACTCCCCATTTGCCATCCAACATCCACTGTCTACTTCATATCCATCCCCACATGCATACATATGTGTGTTCAGTGTTTTCTGCTGGTGCGTGCAAACCAATGACAATCCCAAACTGTCCCACAGGTTTGGCTTTCTGTTTCAGTTTGAGGCAGACACACATTGCGTGTTACTTCCTGAGCTGAAGGGAAGCTCTCATTTAGAGTTTATACCATAAGGTAATTAGCACTAATAGAAGTCAGTGTTGTAATACTGTTCCCCCCCCCCCCCAAGAGATTTGGTATCTCTCCGAGGGTCAGCCGGGCTGCGTGTTTACAGCTGAGTGTTGGCAGTGGCTGCTGACTGTATGTTATTGATGTTTTTTTTGTGGGGAGCTGTTTTTAGTACGTACTGGTTGTGGTGCTGCTCAGTAGATCAGTCTGTTTGTCTGCATTTCTGTCAGCACAGAGGAGTCCTCGTGAGTGTTTACTGTGTTTGCTGGTTGCCTGTTCCTGGTTTGAATGAATCCAGCTGTAGTTTCAGCCTCTTGTGTGTTACCAATACATTCGAGTTGCACAGAGGTTTATGCACTATATATAAGAAGAAACACAGAATCAGCTAATCTGAGTTACAAACCCCAAAATACATAGAAGTTGGTCAATATGGCACTTTTTAGGTCGCCTTAATGTTTCTGCAACCCTCATATTGTACCAGAGATGGCTGAAAAACACATTTAAGGTCTGTTAAAGTTTGAGCATCGATATCTTGGGATATTATAATGTCAAGAGCAGAACCGCTCTAGTTATATGTATATGTATAAATATAAAGATTTGTGTAATGTAGAATAACAGAAACAAGCCGTGCGTTGGATGTTTTATCTGTTTTCTCATATTTCACTGGAGAAAACTTTAGAAACTGTTTTTAGGGTGAACTTCTCAAAGGTCAAATCATCATGCGGGAAAGGTGGCAGCTGAAAATCATTCCACTGAAAATCAATCAGTGGCTCCCACCTGACTCCCTCATAACCAGCTGTAAAATAGAACCAACGAAAATCACCAATATTCAGAGTTATGGACTCGCAAAGTATAGAAGTGTGGGTCTATTAGCCAAAGGCTTAGGCTTCAGACTACCAATACATGTTTCAGTCATTTTTTTCCCAATGCTGGCTCTATGAGATGTCACTGAGAGCAGATATCTCTCTACTCACATGGATCTTGCCTTTCAAACACTCTCATTTACTAGGGGCAACCATTCAGAAGAATGCTGTCTCACAGGGAGCTAAATCAGCTTGTTTCAGTAAGATAAATAGGGATTATTTTCAACTGTGAATCACACAAAGCGCTCTAGTAGAGCCTAAGGACAAAATATGGAGCTGGAAATGAGCAGAACACGTCCTCTTTAAAATATTAATTGAATATTTGCAGAGTTGCTGTTATTAAAGCAAAGAAAACGCTCTCAGTATTGGCATACCTGTGGTTTTTATGCCCTGAAAAAACGGATTGTGATCCAGATTTTATGAATACCTCTGTGACTTGAATGTAATGGTTCCCGCCTCCTGCTTTAGGTTGTTGTCGAGAGCTGTGTAGCTTTAGTACTGACAAGCGCAGAAGCGGCTGTGTGACTGATTTTGCCGTCGCTGCAGCTGATGAGTGTTCGTGTAGCTGCAGAGTAGTGGTGACTGTAGCTGTTGCTTGTAGACTGACACACCATCTGTTTTGTCTGCCTGTACTTGTTGTGTCCTGCAGGATCATGCTGATTTGTGCCAAGCGGTCGCTTTACGCTGCTTTCTCAGTGCTGCCCTATGGAGAGAGTTCAAATATCAGGTACAAAGAAAGCACCATCCCAAGCAGAGAGCACCCATCCTTCACTTTTGTTTCCATCCTCCTCCTGTTTGATCCATATCATTCTCAAAAGGGCAGCGAGTGTGCAGGAGTGGGTGGAACGGTCACATAAATGTGTCTTTTCATGAACAGTGACCCTAAGCTGGAGGCTCAGAGGCAAAGACTCTCCTCGGTGGTGGCTGCTGATCTGCTTCCTTCTCTGGAAGGTGTGGAGATGGGTGCCTGTGGAAAGGTTAGTGCCAGCCTGATGCACTGCGATACCTACAGTATACACACGATTGAAGCTCTGCTTGTGCTGTGACTCATACTCATCTGAGACTAGCACACTGTAACTTGCCACTGAAGATTGTGCACTATATTAAAAACATACCAGACATTGAGTAGATCACTAGATCAGAGGTGGACACATTTTTATTTTCCAGAGCACTTTATTAACTAAATTATGTAAACTCCATGAAACTGGTAGACATATCAGGTTATTTTTTCTGGGTGAAAGTGTTTCCTGCACATAAAGAATTTTTTTTCCTCAATATGGAAAAAAAGGGGCTGTGACTTTGTGTTTTAATCTGAAGAATTTTGCCTGACTCAAAATGAGCTTATATTGGGTGACCATGCATATAAGCACAGTGCATGTTTACTGCTAATTCTGGATATTTGATAAACCTTTAAATCTGTTTTATGCTTGAGTAAATGAGCGCTCTAGCTGTTAAACCTGAATAAATATCAGGTCAGAGTCATTACAGTCAGTTGCCTCGAGATTCATGAACATAGTGCTGCCTTGTATTGATTTTTAACTTATTTCATTTATATATGTATTTTTGGGACTGGGAGTGGACGTCGTGATGATTTGCAGGCGGCTTCTATCCTTCGAGCTGTACTTTGCTCATCTGTGCAGTATATTCAGAGTTTGTCAAAACTGGATTGCCCTTTTTGGGGGGGAATTGGACGAGCAGATTGTTGTTTGGTTTCTTTGTGTTTGTTTGTTTTTATTGTAACTAAATATACTGATGAAAAGGTAGATACTTGACTGTCTCGTTATTCCTCAGACGGTGTCCTACGCTCAGTTTCTTTATCCAACCAATGCCTTGGTGAGACAAAAGAGCGGTGGCAGCAGCAGCGGTGGTCCACCAGATAACTGCACAGCCCAGACCCCTCAGTCACGTTTCCGAGGCAACGGGCAGAAGAGCTTCACCCCTGCTCGTCTGAACAACAGCGCGGCACAGGACCCATGTATGAAGCTTACAGATGTGTGCCTGCATCTTGATCCTAACTGACCGGAGCCGTAATTATTCACTCATTTGTGTGTGTGTGTGTGTGTTTTGATTTCAGATGTGGAGGAGGTGGCGGAATATGACCCCAACCTGCTCAGTGACCCTCAGTGGCCCTGCGGGAGACACAAGCGGGTTCTCATATTTGCATCATACGTGGTGAGTGAGGCTGCAGCTCTTACTTTCATTATCAGCTAGTCGGGGAGTTATTTATCAGATCGCAGCAGATGAAACCAAGCAAAACAAAAAGAAACTCTGGGGGGGTTTCATCTTACAAGCTAACTTATAAACACCGAAACACAGGTTTATAATAGAGGTGGTGTTCGTTCATCATCGGTTCGTCTGTGGTGTTGTTTTTGCCATCAAAACTCAACTAATTTTAACTGAGGAAATAGCATCCATGTCTCATTCACATTTTGTGTTTTATACCAGACCTCAGTGCAACTCACCAGTTCATCCACTCTGAAATAAGGCATTTACCACCCCTCCTGCTTCCCTTTAAGCCATCTTCTTTCCTATTGGCTGTCCTTCCTCTGGTGGGTGGGCCAGAGGTGTTAATATTGGAAATCTTTGGAGAATTCTCTGCAAATTTGGCTGTAGGAGTCCCAGGAGGAAAAAACGTTCATAAAAACTTTTTAAGTGTTTCTTTTTTTTAATCAGCTTAGACCTGTGATAGTTATAATTGCATTTTTATGTCCCTATCCCCACTGAAATTATAGGAACTTTAGATAATGCTTAAAAGTAAGTTCCCAGAGGAGTTCCAAGGCTGAGTGCCTGTTTTAGCAAACTAGAGATATTCTCTCCCTTGGACATCATATAAAAAACCTTCTGAGCATACACCACCTTGTTCCATTAAATCATCTGCAGCATGTGACAGAAACTAAAAGGTCCAAAATCTAAAAATGTTCGGCTGATAACCTCATAGCAGTTACAAACGAGAGCAAATGCTGACTGGAGCTGAGGCTGTTAAATGTTTAACTCTGTATCTGTATTGCTGGGGACGAGAGAAACCTGATTTTTACAGTGAGGTTTGTCCTCGAAGGAGGCGCTTTCTCTGCCATGTGAATGGATAACCAGGTTACTAATAAACCTTTCCACAAATGCAATACAAAAGACTGCAGACATGGAAAGTAACAGTGGAGCAAACACAGAATGACAACACAGAAAAGTAAATGTTTGTGTGCACGTTTGTTCTTACGACTCAATCCAAAACTCCCAGATGTCTGCAGAAGTCTCCCAAAGCATTTCTTACTTAAAAAAGCATCAGAGGATATAAAAAAAAATCCAAAATAGTTTCCCTCGTGTTTTTGTATCAGATTCCAGTCTGCCACAAGTCATTTCACATCCAAAAACTTGAAATGGGATTGTTGCAGCAGTGGATTGTGTTTGCAGGAGGCTGCTCAATATGTTTTTGTGCAGTTTCATTCAGCACCACCACACCCAGAGCAAACACTGTACATGCTGCTAGCTATAGAAGCTAACCCGCCTGTTAGTTTCTAACAAGAGATGACTTCTGCAAATAGCTACATAAATAAACTTGGATCCAGGTGGGGCTCAGTTGATGAATTTGTTATTAATCTTTGCTGGAAAGTAATGAAAAATATATATACAATGAGAAATGATTCAAGGCACGGCTGTTCCTCTGGTTTTCCATGACGCTGTGGGCCGTGATTGTACACAGTGTTACATATTAAAAAAAAGTCATGTCTGGAAATTTTTTTTATTTTAATAGAGTTAATATATTCACTGAAGCATGCAAAACGCTACCTTCATAATATAGTTACAGAGTTACAGGCCCTCAGATTAGACACAGAGTGGTTGAGATTTGGCATTTTATTATTTTTATTTACCTTTTTTAAGTATATTTGAGCCCCATGACTTCATAAATACAGTAGATATCTACATGAAAATTTTCAAAGCAGAAAAAAACAATCACGTTGTTTAATTATACCAACACAGATTGGTGTTGGTGTAATTTTATATATAAGGGCAGATGTTATACTGACAGGACTGCACAGATTCATGTTAAAGGTTTTTTTCATGTGACTGGAGACATGATGATACACAGGTCATAAATATCCCCACACTTTCATTTTAGTCTCTAAAGTTTGGCTGCTGGAAGTTTAATATGACGGTAAATGTATGACAGTCAAAAAAAGCACAACAGGGCTTCTTTGATAGTCTTAAAATGAGCTTGTTGAGTCGTACAGAAGCTCAAAGTGTAGACAACTGTGATGGAAAAGCTCCCGTCCTCTCACTCTCTGCTCTGTTATGTGTCCTCAGGCTTACAGTAACCATGTTTTCTACAGCAGGTGTGAACTTTTCTCCGTGTCCTCTGTGACCGAGTTTCTCTGAGTTTCCCTGAGTTTCTCTGAGTTTCCCTGGTTATTTGTCTCGCCCCATCTGTCCTCCTTTGTTTCAGAAATCAGGACAGGCCAGTTTCATTTGCCTTGTAAATTGTTGTAAAGCAGTTCTGCAGTCATGTTGAAGAGTAAATAAACCCTTTATCTCCAGCTCACATGATTTTATTGTTCCTCAGCTGACTGCGTCACTCGTCTCTGACCTCCAGCATGAGTGTGCTGGTGAAGCAGTCCTTATCAACACAAGCAAAGCTGAAACGCTTTACTGCGGCTGTTATTCCTGGCAGTTCCATATTGACACGGCGGTTTTGTTTTTCCATCTCTGCAGACGACGGTCATTGAATACGTGAAACCATCTGACCTGAAGAAGGACATGAATGAGACTTTCAAGGAGAAGTTTCCCCACATTAAACTGACACTGAGCAAGATAAGAAGGTGCAGATTTCTCACATTCCTCTCCGATTTTCAGAGTTTGAGCCTTTTAAAGATTCGGCCTCGGTCTGTAATCTGGTTCAGAGTGTACACACAATACGCCCTTCTTAGAAAACTGATGACTGTGACTTCTCACCTCCTCTAGCCTGAAGAGAGAGATGAGGGCCGTGAGCGAGGAGTGCGGCCTCCAGCCGGTGACCATAGCAATGGCTTTTGTTTACTTTGAGAAGCTGGTGCTGCAGGGACGCCTCAACAAGCAGAACAGGAAGCTGGTGGCGGCGGCGTGCGTGCTGCTGGCTGCAAAGATCAGCAGCGATCTGAGAAAGCCAGAAGTTAAACAGCTGATTGATGTGAGTAAAGTTTCCACTCAGAAAACAAAACAGGATGTGTTTAAATGTAACTACCTACCTTTCTCTTCGCGCTCATACGAGAGCGGTAACTAGTGTGCAGTGTAGTGCTAAAACCAGACTTTAACTGACCCACAATCATATAATGCAGTGCATTCTTCAGGACCAACAGTTGGGAGAAACAGAACAGTTTTTACAATAATATAAACTCAGCTCTGCAGAACATCTGCAGTCTCAAAAAAGACTAAAACCTGCAGATTTGCTTTCACTTAGTTGTTCTAAACTCTTAATTTTCATTTGAGTTAACGAAAATGTTTTATAATAGCAAGTTTTAAGTCAACTGTAATAATCGTGGTCTGCATACTGCCAGCTTTCAGTTTAACTTTTTATTAACGTAAGCTAGCTGTGGATAGCAGCTGAAAACTGTTATGACTTCTATTGTCATTTTTAACTGTAAGAAGAAACTAATCATTAGTGAAGGTTCAGTTCACTACATTTACTTTACAGGTGGTGAACGGGCCTGCGGGTCCAGTCAGCTGGACCCAAGAACCTTTTCACTGGTTTGGTGTAATAACAGGCATGTAGTGCCATTAAACTAAAAAAAATGAAGAAACATGCACTGCTCTCAAAAAACCCAACACATTTTAAAACCTTATTCGGTGTAAAGTCGGCAAACTAAGTCTCGACTGTGGAGGCAGAATTGTTGAAGCAACTTTAGGTTTAACCCTGTTCTCAGTGTTACATGTTTGGCTCATGTCTTACTGTTATTCCCAAGATCAGTACGTACAAAATCTACGCCTACCAGCCAAAAAGTTCTTTGGAAAATGGTGTCGCCTTTCATGGAAGATCAGACCTCAGTTCAAACATAGGCTCCTAATTTTTCCTGTTAGCAGAGGGTCATTTTAAAACACTTTTATCTTTCTGTGAACCTTAATACTGTGAAATAGGGCAACTAAATCTTGCACTTACTGACCTTTTATATGAATTTTTCAAGGAGGCTAGTTTGAATTCTGTCTTTCTATTTGATCTGAGAGAACAGTGCTGAAACTGTCTCAGTGTCACTGTTTTAGGAACGCATCACTGTGTCGATGCTTATAAAATATGCATCCAACAGGAGGAAAGGCGAGGAATAAATCTGTTTTTTGATTGATGCTCAACAGAAAGAGATCTAAAGCTGTGCACTGAGGTCCGCAAACTGTTTGTTAGAGATCTGATTGGTCAGTAATTGGGGGTTTCTTACAGGCTGAACTCTTATGTTGAACAAAATATGCTTAAAAATAAGTTACCATGACAATGAACCACCTTCATAACACTAAAGAAAACTCAGGGTTGAACCTGAAGTTAGCTTAATAATATGGAGTCCTGCTTCATGGTGCAGGTCTATTTAATAACAAAAAAAAAAAAAAAAAAGATATCACAGATCATTTAAGTCAACTGTTGGCATGGACAAAGCAACAGGACAAATCATCATCATCACCACCTGTTTCTTCCTCTGTTTTTTCTCTCCGTGGACGAGCAGAAGCTGGAGGAGCGTTTCCGCATAAACAGACGCGAACTGATTCCTCTGGAGTTCCCGGTACTGGTTGCCCTGGAGATGGGACTATATCTCCCCGAGAGCAAGGTCATGCCACACTACCGAAGGCTGGTACAGCAAGGTTAGACCAGACGTGGCGGAGTAGGACGTGCACATGTGTGGCGTGTCGACCAGTTTATAAGCTGTGGTGTTTGAAATAAATACTTGTGGTACTATTTATTGTTGCTGTACATTAACTAGGTTACACTCAGACTTGATGGCATGTGTTTCTCTCCCTGAATGTCTTTTTGTAGGTGTGACATTCTCATGTTGATCCAGTCATGAGCTCTATGTTAGAGATGTTCACTGAGCACATTAATGGTGCTTTTATTTTGGTTTCTTGTGGGTTTTTAGGATGCCACCCTGTTTTAACGTCTTTGTAAAGGTACGGTGTGTGTGTGTGTGTGTGTGTGTGTGTGAAAAAGAAAAAAAACTCATGTGCACCTTTCTTGTTACTATACAGCCTGTATAGTAATTATTGTAAAAGACATATTGCTGATTTCTTTTTTCTTTTTTAAATGCCTTGTAAACCCACTGTGACGCTGAAGCATTTTTAGCAATGAGCCTGAAACATGACACTGTAGATCGTAAGTGGGAAACATCTTTTCGGGGAGAAGTGGCCTTTAATTTGTTTACGTCCATTCGATATTTGTACTATGTCTCACAATTATCCAGCCAAACTCTCGTATTTACCGCGAATAGTAAGAAAACATCAGACTCCTGTGGCAGCTCTGTGTTCTGACTTTGGTGTTGGTCGTGCTTGTATCCAGTATTTCCACTGTGCTGTGGTGTCACATGCAGAGAAACAGGATGATGGAAGTTTCTTATTTATAGTAAACATTTTTTTTCCCTTTTGTTGTTTTTGTTTCGTGTCATTACCCAGGGATATGTTTTGTAAAATGCACTGGTTAGTTATCTTTTAATTCTCAGGAATTCTTACTTTTTCTTTTCTTTTTTGGTGCAGTCACACTATGGAAAAAGGGTTGGAACAAACTATGTAAAATGACCTTGAGAACGTTGCGTCAAAGACATTTTTCAGGCTTGCAGTCACTGTTTCAGTATTCAAAGAAACTTTGAGTTGCAAGCAGTCTGTTAGCAAATGAATGATGTTAATTATATGCAATCAGTTTGTGATAATGTGGGAATTAACTATCTGTTGGATCTACACAAAAATTCACATGAACTGTTTTTATTTAGAGTCCAACCAGGATCGCGTAGATTTAAAGGATGTAGTTGCGTGTCCTGTTCCACTCACTGGTGCAAAATGACTGCCAACATGTTGCAATCAGTCTGTGTGTTTACCAGTGAAACAGGAATTATTTGCAAACCTCAAGCGAGTCTAAATTTAGAGACTTGCTTCTTTAGAAAAGGTGACCTGCAGTTGAAAGCGGTGGCCCAGATGTTGAGGGTGTAGCGCGCCGAACCTCTCTCCAAAAGCTGAACATCGGAGGTTGTCAACCTATTTTACTCTAGTGCGACTGAGCCGTTAATCTTTTGTAAAGTCAAACCCAAAGACGCCGTAGCGATCATCACTGGAAGATTGTGGTGTTTTCATTGTGACTCCATGAACAGATGAACTGGACGGTAGAAACGAGTCAAATTTGGACAAGTACAGACAAAAAGTGCCTGAAATCACAGCGGCAGTGAAATTGTTAATGATCGAAGTGACATTTCTTTGTCTTTCTGTGGTTGATCTTTAAATGTTGGTTTTGTCTGGGAAAGATAATCTGTCTTCTTACTTAATGGTGATTCAGTTTACTGTGTTTGCCTGATGTGATTAAATTTAAAAAAAGTGTTCAAAATAACCGATGTGCAGAAAATGTACGGTTGTTGTCGAATTGTTGGATGATCATTGTGTGTTTACACTGTTCCGTAAAATGAATGTTTTTAAAATATATTTTAAGACACTGAAAAATTAAGTTTGACTTGTCTTCTTGGCTACTAAAACAAAAACAGTCAGACACTAACAACAAGTGTTTCTATTATTTTTACTGTTCCCTCATGTTTGGACAGGATAGGCTAGTAGCTGACATGCAGGTGGAGTACATGTTCACCCAGTTACATCAGTAGATATTAATTCAACACAGCACTATCAGCTGGGAGTCACACTTTCCACTACATCAACCACAATCTTTACCCTTGAGGTGTGGCGGGAATAAAACTACAGCTAAGCAGCAAAATAAATACATTAAATAATAATATTTCTTAAAAGCACGCTCAGTCCAGACTCATGTCTTCATCGTCGTCTTTCTTGTCTTTGGAGTCGCCGTCTTGATCAGACTTTGTCTCCGTCTCCATGGCTTTAGCAAAAGCCTCCACATCTGGAAAGAATAAAGGAGCAGAATTCAAAGCTGGAGCTGAAGTTATCATGTAGTTAGCTGAGCAGGTTAACCTGGAAGCAATTTCTCATCCACAGTTTAAAGAGCTTTTCTCCACTAAAGTTAAAACAATTACTACATTTCAAATTTTACCTGGACAGAAAATAATTT